CAGGGACACCCCGGCCCGGCCTGGCTTGGCGCTGGTAGCGCCCGGTGTGGTTCCAGGCGTGCCCGACCGGACCTGCTGCCTGCATTGACTCCGAGATGTGCCAGCATCTAGCAGCTGCAGAAAAGCAGCCCCCTTGGGTTCCACCCGGAGCGGGTCAGAAAGCAGCACGTACTTCAGACAGTCGGGGCGAAATGCTGTCTTCACCGAAGGAGCAGGGCTGGAGCCACTGCTGCTGAGAACAAACGCCCTGTCTTTGTGGCAACCAACCAGTTTATTCCCATCGCACAGCTGGGCGTGTTGGGAGGAGCAGGATCCGGGAGGGAGAGCAGTGTTTAATATAGCGCAGCACAGTCCCCAGAGGGAATGCCTGTGCCTGTGCCTGTGCCTGGCTCCACGGCTGTGGGCATCTGCAGCAGGAGGGCAGTGAGCTGGGGGCCTGCCCCGAGCTCCTGAGAGCCGTGCAAACCGCAGCCCCAAAACTGCTCGCTGGTATCCACGCAAACGCAGGGCTTCCCGCTGGCCAGGCCCAGCGTCAGGTGGGCAATGGGTGCCGAGAGCACTGCTGGGCAGTAGCTGCACGCCAGGCGCCACGGGGCACTGATCCCTGGCAGGCCAGGCTGGCACAGCCGTGTCTGCCGGGCTCCTGCTGCTGCCCTGGAGAGCCACTGCTTCTTGAAAAACACCTTAGCGATGCTGCCACCACTGAGCTGGTCCATCCCCTAATAACTCAAATGCATCGCAGATAGAAATCAGCCTTACGGACCATAAGGACACATAGTCTGTTGTACATTCATTTCCCAGTTTCCAGTAAAGTACGGAAAGCAAATAAACCAGCACTGGCGTTTCAGGGCAATTACTCAGAAGGGTCAGGAGATACAGACCAGCACGGAGGAGCTGGACTACGTCAAGTCTGTTTAATGCGTAGGGATAACACGATAAGGCTGTCCGTTGCCCTGCAGGGAGTGAGGCAGGGATCGAGCTGTTATAACCAAGCTTCCGGCTTCTCTGACCTTACCCGGTCCTCGGCTGTTGTTCTCCACTGCACACAGAAAAACATTCTGACGCCGTGACCGCGCCCTGGGGACTGCAGCGAGCGCGGTGGGTCTCTGCGGAGGCACAGACGCAGCCCCCCGCACAGGCAGTGGCCGGGACACGCAGCTGGTGCCAGCTGTACTGCTGTGTGCTCTCCTTCCTTTAGTTCTTTACTTACAAAACTTGCTGGGTGCTGCCCAGAGCAAGTGGAATGTAAAAAATTGGCACCATAGCCTTTTTTCTGTATAACCTCAGGTGAAACAGAGGCCCCGTTGTGAACGTAGGATGTGAAGGGTTGGCTGTGCTTCTCCCACGGAGGGAAAGCAGCTCCAGCGTTGCTAATGGCAAACATCTGCTCCACGGAGCCGCACTGCTGGGAAGATCCGTACTGAGCAACGGCTGCTTTTCTGGGGAAGCCGGGCCAAGGCTTTTGCTGGTGTAATGCGGGCTAGCAGCGTCGAGGCCAGGCGGGCGATGGTGATTTGTGCTAGTGAAGGGGTGGGCTGGTCTCCTCACCCTATCTGAGGCAATAGGAGCATTGCCAGTAGCTTCAACGGGGTGTGATTTCATCTCGCCCTGTGTCATCTTACACTGGAGCAGGCGTGGAGCTGGCGGGGGGGCCCCCCGCTCCCGGGGCAGGGAGTCAGGAAACGAGCCGCTTGCTCTCCAGAACTTTCCGCTCCAAGTTTAAGTTCTTCTCCCCTGTAATGCCGAGTTTGCAAGCGTCTGCAAACTGCCCGGGGGCACAGGAGAACCGAGTGGTGACAGGAGTTGTGCAGAGGCATACGGCTGTGTTTAACCCACGAACATCTCGCATCAGGCCTAAGTCATTCCTCGCGCTCTGAATTCCCCTGGGAGCGAACCACAGAGCGGCAGACTGTACTGAAGCTGCGAGGACCGTATTCCCGAGCCGAGCACAGCCCGCGTGGGTATTGCACAAGCTCAAGTTCAGGGACTCTGTGCCAAGCGATGATGTTACCGACTGCAGGAGAGAACCAATCTGAAACTAGGGGAAAAACATTTTTGTAGAGAAACATCATCTCTGAAACCATATAAACAAATCAGTTCTGACACAACAGAACAAAGAGCTATAAAAGGAGAGTTTGGGAAAAACACCACTCATGGGCAGCAACTCACACGGTGCCCGCCAGACTGTGTTGTTGTAATTTCTGTTCCTTGGGGACGCTGGCCTACGCTTTCCAGAGCACAGAGGAGTACGGAAACAGCCCGGCCAGACGCGGGGCCACGCTCAGCACCCCTTGCCTCTGAAGATGCTCCAGAGCAGGACGCAGCCGAGTGAGCAGGGTGCTGAGCACAGGGGGCTTTGCAAGAGCCACAGATGACGGCGTGGGCTGGTCCTGGGAGGCCCCTCCGCGGCTGTGGGCTGTGCTCCCGGCAGGACCTCTTCGCTCAAATGCTCCAGGAGCGGAGGCGCAGCGGTGGCTGGGACGTCTGCTTCATCTGGACGGCGTTGTCTTTGGGAACAGCAGGGCACGTCAGCCGTGGCCAGGCAGCTTCCTGAGAAAATCAGCGCTTCTCATCTGGTCAGAAGACTTCAGTCCCTGGGAAAACACAGCATACCTCTCAGTGGGCCTGGGAGGAGCAACCACTGGATGGCAGATTTACAAGCAAAAAATTAAATTTGTATTAGGGGCTGAAACCGTTTCTCTGCATTGACAGGCTGTTTCAGAGAGCAGATGAGCAGTAACCTCTGAGGGGGTGAAATCCGCAGCAGAAGAGCAGGTCCTCCATCCGCTGAAATGGCATCGTTGCCAGGATCTCAGTTCCAGCAAGATCAGCTCTTGTTAGGTTCCAGTTTTTGTTTTACATTCTTAGCAGGTCTGTTTCTCCAGCATGCCATCTCAGACAGCAATAAAACCTTATGAACTTCTGCTCTGTGGTGCACGCTGCGACTTTCACGAGCAGAAATCCCGAGATCCCAGAGAGCCTTTGGACAAACGTAAGCTGGGTCTGTAACTTAAAACTCCTTGAATTCACAGTTTAATCAGACCAGCACAAAGCAGGGAAGCCTCGTGGGGCCCCTGCTCTTACTCCAGCTAAACTGCATTTGTTTGTGAAAAACACACTGCCTTCACCGCTGCACGGGCAGGGCGGTCAGCGGTAACACCGTCGGCAAAGACGTGGTGCCCCTGCGTGCCGGGGAGCAAGAGCCCCCGTTCCTCCCCGGCATCTCGCCTCTGGCCGGGGGCAGAGGTGACACTTAGCCCCCAGCCCAGCGCACCTAAAGGGCCTTGCACCCAGCCCAGATCTGCCTGGGTCACCCGTGGCAGGAGCCCGTGTGCTGCCCCGGCAGGTCCGTGGCACCGGGAG